GATCTTCTCACTCACACACACATTAATGTCAGAGCCTTTAACTTCTCTTCGGCCTCATTATCTGAGAGAAGAAATGCAAATGGCACTGAATTACTACTAATACCTGCTTAGTTCACTCGGCAGCATGAAGACCCACTGGAGGACATCTTTACTTGTTTTCCTGAACTGAAGTTATAGTATCCAATTGTCCGCCTGCTTGCTTCTTTCTCTGTGTTATTAATTCTGGAGATCACTGTTCACTGCTCAGCAGCCCCGGAGACAAAGGAGAGAAAACAAAGAAGAGAGTGGTATTTAGTGTTAGAAGAGCCGAAAATCGGGAATCACCGAGGGCTGGAGAGAAAGAGAGTAGAGGAGGTTTGCAGATCGCAGAGTGACAGGAACATATAGACCTGTGTTTAGAAAAGTGACTACTATAAAGACACATAAAGTGCACAGCGCAAAGGAGAAGGAAAAATGATTGGCAGCCAAATTAGTTGGCTTTAGTGTGGCACGTCTTCACAGAAAGACTGAGGTCAAGTCACAGAGGACATGCGGGGGCTTTAGGTGCTTAATTAATATGACATTCATTTCTACACATAGGTGCTGAAAACTGAGTGTGTTGGTGTGTGTGTGTGTAAGTTTGAGTGTGAGACACAGAGAGACAGGCATTTTATTAGCTTCATTTAAGGACGCTTAATATACAATGACACTGACCTATATTGGCTGCTGCCTCCAGCAAAAAGCCGCCCAGCGTTCGCGTCTCTGATTTTTTTTAAATCGCATTTCCTGTCGCACTAAATGCATGGAAGCAATATAAAAAAGGACTTGAAGACAGATCGGTTTAAGATTAGCTCTAACATGCAGTGTCCGACTTTCCTGCAGCCAGTTGTTATGAGCAAATGAGTAAGAGAGATGTAATTTGTTAGCTGTTAATTGTTAACAGGAGAACTGCTGGAATTTTTTGGCCTCTTGACACATGAAGTTTTCCCATTTGTGAGCTACGCGTCAGTACTTGCAAACTGCTTTTGTGAAAATGGTCTGCTGTAAGTGGGAGTTTCAGAGCTCTATCAGACACCAAAAGTCAGCTTTTTACACATAAAATCAAAGCTGCAGTCCTGACTTTTCTAGACATCACCTGGCAGAGTTGGTTCAGGCTTATGACATTAAGTCTTCTACCTGCCAGCTCCTTTGTGCAAAGTCTGTGTGGTGTTGGGATTGAACCAGTGCGTGAATAGCGCAGCTAATAAAACTGTGCATTTACTGTTTGTGAATTGGAATCATGTGTGTTCCCGTCTGCAGGCAGCAGTCTCGCTTTAACCGCACCGAGTAGTTGAAGAAGCGCAAACGCATCTGAAGCAGACTATTTCCTGCTGTGTGCTAAATCTGAGAAAGCACAACAGGGAAAAATATCCTGACCTGATTCTTCCTAAATTGTCCAAATTTAGTGGAAACCATATAAAAGAGGAATGGAAGATAAAAATCAGCTGTAACATGCAGTGTTTGATCTGTCTTGCTGTCAGCATTTATTTCCCATGCCTGACCGTTCAATGGGCACACTTTGAGTGTTTGGCTTCGGTTGATAGTCAGTAAAATTGTTATATCAGACACCAAAACATCTCAGCATTTTATGATACTATGAATCACAATTTTGCATCTCTCGATTGTTAAGAGACAGGAAATATTTTTCATCTGTCAAAAGGTACACACTAGAATTACCCTGTTCACATTACAGTGTAATCTGCCAGACATCTGTACCACCAGCATCCTGCTTCTACATGTATTAGGCAAAAGCAGTGTTGGGTAATTGCACTGCAGTGCACATAGCTTTGCTTTAAAATTACTGCCCATATTTTCTTTGCTATCGCTGAATTGACCATGAACTATTACATTGTTCTTCACTGCCATAATCATAACAGCAAAGGTATTCAATCAAAATGGCAAAATATTTATTCGTGAAAGAATGTCCAGACACCGACAAAATCAATGAAGCAGCACATGAAAGCTTTTCTGGCAGCTCAGTTATCCAACAAACCTTACGTAGACAGTTTATGTCGACGCGCACTTTAATTCGACTCACTTGTGTATGCTACACAGGCATCTGCTTCCTGCTCTGGCCTTCTATGCTGATGCTTTGCCTATCCTGTGTTTGGGTCAACCCCAGACTGGAGAAATCAGGGCCCTTTTTATGAAGTTTAAATCAACATGCACTCATGCATATATTAACTCATAAGAGCACACACTTTTACAGGCAAAACACACATGGGCACACACACCGAGACACAATAAAATTGAAAAACGGGGTGTGCCCCCTGCTGTTAACACCATCTTGTGTTTGACACTGGCTTTATACATATGCTAATTCACCTCCATTTCACTGCCAGTGTAATGGATGGGGTGAGACCAGCAATTAGATATTAGAAAGAAAAAATATAGTGACAGCGAAGCAGAAAGAAGAGTATCTTATCTAGCCCACACAGAGACAGAGACCTTCCCTTTTATACTAAATGTGACACCTGCTTTTCACTCATAAATAAAACATTTAATCTACATCTGGAACTTCAGTGAAGGTCCAAAAGATTTTGTGCGTGCGTAAAATGGAGCAAAAACACAAATGACAGAGACGAACAGCGCATTATCTTTGTTTCATCTATAATTACATCAGCCAAGCTGAGTTATATGTTGAATGAATCTTACATAAATAGATATCATCGCGCACAGTCATTACCCCCTCGGGTTTTGTGTTTGTGAACCCAGTGTGCGAGCAGGGCAGCGTGCCCGACGCTGTTTTAATTGGCATGGCAGAGTGCCAAGTGATGGATGGGTGGCTGGGTGCAGAGACTCGCTGTGTATATTTCTGAGTTGATGACAGCCATCTGCCAGTGCCACGGGCCATTCCCAGTGCTGTGTTTCCCCACATGTGTGTTCCTCCTATAGTCAGCTGTGTGCTGGCTCTGCTGCTTTCTGCTGTGTTTGTGGACACGGGCAACCACTCTATGCGCACTCCATAACCTACGGCCAAAGTAAAGCAAATTACAGTTAGAGCGAACACACACACACTTATTCATATACAGCCAGTATAGAGAAATGCTATCATAATAATGGCTTTGTATTTTTATTTTCTGGGAGGGAACTTTTCTTTCTATCAGCCAAGGTTGAATCCTGGACAGGGTTGAGCATAGGGACATTTTTCTGGTGACAAAAGTTGCAGCTGTTGGGTTATTTAATGTATTTTATAAGTGTCTAAAAGCTCAAAGAGTTGCAGTGTTAGTAGAAATAAAATGGAAAACAAAGAAATGGGGAAGTGTTATGACTAAACACACTTTTTCCTTCAGTTATTGTTTAATGTGTACTCAGGGAAACCGTGACTTGGTGTTTTTCTCCTGCTGTATCCTACGTTTCTTGGTAGAAAGGGGAAATAAACTCCCCTGTGTTTGACTCTTTCTCTTCACCAGAAGCAGCTGGTGAATAGAACTGTGCTAATAGAGTGCAACATTAAATCTCCCACTGTGGGGCCAAATCCAGCCACTGGGCTTAACAACGTTTCTGGCAGAAACCCTCGACTGCAGTATCTTTTACTGACTAAATGTTCCTTTGTGTATTCCAGCCAGACACTAACTTTGCCTTTCTATGCCGGGCAGGTATTGTGGCAAAGAGTTTTTAGAGGTTATTGTTGCTGCCTGGTTCCCAAGAAAAACATTTAGTATCAGCAGTAAGAATGGTCCAAAACAGTAAAGCTCCAGCCACACTGCTGAGAGGCGCTATGAAGCTCTGTAGAGCAGAGGGAAACTGTAGAGTCAGATGGCAGTTCTCTGAGGATTCCTCACCACAGGGATATCACATTATCAAAAGAGAATTTCTAAGTGCTTTGGCAGGTATTTACAGTGCTTAAGACACCTTTCATGTCTTTATACTTTACTTCCAAGGAGCAGGATTTGTTTGTTTTTATTAAAGTGCTCTTGAGGAATAGTTATATAAAGCAAGACGCTTTATGGAGGTCTTCCAAAGTTTTTCTTTGGACACTGGCTGCTTATTTAGTCATTTTCAGTCTAGGCGTTGTACCTGATCATTTTCCGAGGAATGTTGTTTTTGGGTTTTTTTGTTAAGCCACTTAATACTGACCTGTGAATCATTCAAGCATTTAAAAAAAGGGATCTAACTCAAGTTATGAATCAGTGTTGTGTCTGCACATAAACAGACAGCTTAGCAAAGAACCAGTTTTAGGCACTTTGTTACAAGCAGTCTGTTGCAAAAACACATCATTTGATCTAATTTCTTTAGTTGAACCTACAATTAAACTAATGATAGCACAAATTGCCAGGCATAAAAGATTATTTTGCAAATATTTATGATTCCCTTAGAGCTGTTACCATAAAACCTTTTCATATCTCGGCATTACGTGCAATGTGTCACGGTTTGGGGCTACAGTTATCTCAATTATGAACTCAGAAAAGTTCTTTCAGATTTTGAGCCACACTGGAACGCCATCTGAAAAGGGTCTGATTGGCAAGGGCTTCATTTTTCAGCACGCCATACTGGCACTGCAGTAGAGCCATACGTGGATACACAATGGAACACTATCAGAGTGCAGACCTCAACATTATTAAAGCAGTGTGGGATCATCTTGACAAATGAACGAGAGTTCAGGCTGTGTAGAAGAAGAAAGGTGTTCATACCAAATATTTACTTCCAAGCTCATTAGAATTGTACAAAATTGCAAAAAGAAGAAGAAGTAAAGCACAAATTTGTAAGGTGTCTTTTTAAAATGTTTTTGCTCAATAAATGTCTTTAATGATTACTCGATATTCTTGTTCACAGAAAGATTTAATTAATGAACAAGTTATTCTGGCTTTGACCCTGCTCTTTGAGCAGTGTTGCATCACCAGTTACTTAAGGATGCGGAGAACAAACCCATTTTCCTCCTTTATTGTCTCTTTGTCTATCGAGGAAAGCACTCAGCAGCTCAACTTCAGCCTTGCAGGTCTGTGGTGTCTAACCTCCTATGTTTGCTTGTGTGTTCGCAGCTCCTTGGCTTCGTGTACGCCTGCTATGTTGTCAGCGCTATCACTGAGGAGGAGGACAGCTGTGAGTGACTTAACACACACACACACACAAAGACACATACACACACTCATTCTTGCAAAGGAGCCTCACAACAATGAGTGAATCACACCCAGAGCCACTCGCACAAGGGAGACGTAAACGCCTGAGTTGAGGGGAATAAAGCTGCATCTTTCTTCTCCCTCTTTTCCTGTCCCACCCTATACCTCTCCTATCTGTACCTCCTTCCTCCCCCACACCAGCTGGGCCCTCTTGTTTTTCTTTCCCTCCAGAACCAAAGGAGCCATGTGTTACTCTCCACACCTCCTTCAGCCCATTCTTTCCTCTCCTTTCGCTTTCACGTGTACGCTGGGCGCCTTGTCTCTCGCAGCCTGTCATCCTTGCTGTTGTTGGAAACCTGTTATTTCCTTCCTTTAATGTACTGTGGCCTTTTGTTTTCTCACTTTCTTCTTTCTGTGTGCCCCATGTTTTAACACTCCAGCCGTCTCATACCTGGTAGAGGTGAGATGGGGCTCTTGTTAACAAACACAAACCTTCTGCCTCCCCCCCCCCAGGCCTGTTTCTTTTGGAGCAACTGAAACATCTAGATTTCTTCTCTGAAGCGGCTCCTCGCAATGTGCTATCTCAGGGCTCTTTTTCTTCTGGTGTATGCTGATCTGTGTTAGTTCCTTAAGTTAAAGTTAGTTGAGGGTGAGAGGCTCATTCTTTTCCTGTCAAGCATAAACAAGCACAGAGCTGGTGAAGAGTGTGGGAAAAGACAGCAGGGAACCATGAAATAAATAAGAGAAGATGGGGGGGAAGCAGGGACGGACACTTTTGACAGCAGCTGCTGTGACCTCATAGGCAGCAGGTCGGAGGTCCTGCAAGAGGTTAGCCAATCACAGGCCAGGAAAAATTTGATCTAAGGATCAATGGTAGTCATAAATTTCTGATTTGTTCTGCAGTAGCTCTCATAGCTACACAAGCCTGTCCACAAGCTTGAGAATCTGTCTTCACAAATATATCATTTAGTAATCAAATCAAATCAAATCAAATCACTTTTATTGTCACATCACATGTGCAGGCACACTGGCACAGCACATGCGAGTGAAATTCTTGTGTGCGAGCCCCACAAGCAACAGAGATGTGCAAACACAACAACACAAACGAGCAAAAGTAGTTAAATGGACCACTGGCATAGTTATGTACACGATTTTTAGAATACTAATTTCTAGAGCCTGGCTGTGTTCGTGTCTCTTTTGTTGCTTTTAATGTGATTTGAAAACAGAGTAATGAACAAAACACTACATGCACTAATTGAATTAAAACGGCAGGCTCTTGTAATTTGGTGGAATTGAGATGTGGTGTGTGTGTGTGTGTGTGTGTGTGTGTGTGTGTGTGTGTGTGTGTGTGTGTGTGTGTGTGTGTGTGTGTGTGTGTGTGTGTTCCTACACACCAGTGTTACAAAGGTCTAAGCAGTTCTTAGGTGGTCACATACCAAAGGCTGTGAGGGGTTTGCATCACCACCCAAGTGTCTTGCAGTCTTAGCTCTAGCTGGTACAACTTAATCAGCAGTCAACCATAAGTACTGCTTTGAAGGCAAAACCAGTTCTATCAAGTAGGGCTTTTTTTTTAAAAAAAAGTAGGGTTTTTTCCCTCAGCAACTCCTTCTTTTTTGAATTCTGTTCATTCCCAGTGAGAACATCCATTAAAACTGAAGTGGATAGTTATCCTCTCTCAAAAATAAGAGATAAAAAAACCCCAAACGAACAGCGAAAGGATGGCAAAAGAAAAAAGCTTGGGGTGAAAAAAGATTGTGGTGTGATTTTTATTGGTTTTAATTATCTGGCCCAGGCTGTGTTGAAGTGAAACGCTGCTACATCGCTTCCAAGTGCTAGCTCTTTGTTATTGTAATCAGCCCTTTGCCTGTACGCACCCACCAATATGCACATGTTTGTTCGAGCAGACACAGGTGCACACACACACCAGCTAAGCCACTTTCTGTGCTCATTTTCTCCTCCTATTTGATGTGTAGATTAAAGCCAGTTTCTCCACTGAGCTCCCTTGCTTTCTCAGCATTTCTCCTCCTACTCAGAAGTATATCTTCCATATTCCTCTCTCATTTGCTTCATTTCAATTCCCAGTTTCTTCACAGGTTTAGGGAATGATAATATATCATAGCCCAGGTTTATTGTGTTTAAGAAATCCTCTCTTTCCCCCGCTCTTTTACCATATCTGGCTTTTGAACTTTAATGAGGTGTGCTTGTAAAAAGTTAAAGGTCTCTGGTCACTCGTTGTATCAGCCTCATTAAGCGCCTTGCTGGTCAATAACTTCCACGGCTGATTGCGCCTTACTGAGAGAAGAAAGGTAGAGACAATCCTCTGGAGGGATGGAGAGAAAAGGAAGCGAGCGAGTGAGAGAGAGAGAGAGAAAGAGAAAGAGTGGGCATACATTAGGGGAGCAGAGGGAGGTGTTTATCGGGAGCAAGTTGGGAGGAGAAAAAGGACCCAGTATGCAAACAACAAGAGACATGATGAGCTTTTCATGAATAAGGAGATAAGAGAGGAATTCCTTTCACGCAAAGCACTCTTTCACTCTCCAGGGACAGGACTGAGTTGGATTTGAGTGCTCAGACTTGCGTAAAGACTAGCAAAATGAACACACACACACGTGTATACAGGCACGTACACACTCGCAAAAAGCCAAGAAGACACAATGGGGAGAATAACAAGCATCATATACCATCAGCTCAGGGTTTGACATGGCTTTCAGGCTTTATTACTGATAGAGTGTGTATGCGTGTGCGTGTGTGTGCATGAGTGAGCTCCCTTTTGATGTGAGTCTCTCTCCCTCTGTCACTCACAAGTGCATCTATACGTGGTCGCGCACTCGTTCGTACCTGGATGCGTTTGTGTGCGCGTTTAGCTAACTGTGTGTGACTGACTGACTGAGTGTAGGTGATTGTCTATATTTGTGTGCATGAATTTGTTACACAGAGTTATCTGCGGTGAGCAGACACACCAGCAGAGTGAGTGGTGGGGAAAATCCTCTTTGTAAAGTAGGTCATGGAGTTAGCCGCCTAGCACTGGGATAAGCTTGCTTTAGCTTGTCTGCTAATTATGCTGCCGCCCTCTGTGCTGAGTCACATTTGCAGAAAATGCTCTAAAAACAGACAGAGGAGCTATATGGCAGGATGCACAGGGGGCAGTATCATCAAGTTGTGTGAGAAGGTCAAAATAACAAAAGTTCTAGTATCTTCAAAAACATGGATGCACGTGTTCAGGACCTCATTTGTGAAAATGTTCGTTTTCTTTTTAATACTTTAACCTAACCTTAGTAGTGCAGTCAGTCATTTTTGAGGTCATTTTATACATAAAAAATAATATTGTACATATAAAAAAAATACATTAATTAGTGTGCAACAAACTGATGTGTTCTCATGAACTTTGAATGAATCCATTAAAAATACACAGGAGCAGGCATTGGAAAACCTGTTCACAAAGAACACACAGAATATGAAGTCGACATCAAGTGATGATGAGCTGGTCCTGATGTTTCTAAACAAGCAAAGGAAGAAACTGAAATTCTTGGTTCATCCAATTCTAATGAGAAGGCAGCAGCAGGGAGAATTTCATGGTTTAATCCGGGAGTACATATTTCAGGATGTCAGTGGAGCAGGTTAAGCTCTTGTTGGCAGAGTTAGGACCACACCTGAGGACGCAGAAAAACGATTTCCCAGTGCAGACTGACTCGAGCAGCGTCTAGCTGTGTGTCTGAGGTAAAATAGTATTATTTTACTATTTGTATATTTTGTACCACTGCATTTTTGAGCTACGAGTCCACTTGTTCCCAAAGGCAGTGATCAGATTGGTCCGTTGTCTTTATTCGTATCTGAAAAGTCTGGAAAATCAAGCTGGGTTTAAGAAAAATGCCACAAATTGGTCCAGCAAAACTATGTGGTCGGCATGAATGAATAGGTTAGTCTGAAAAATATTTTTAAGCTTCAAAATATTCACATGAATTTTACACGCCTGGTGAGTAAAGGCCTTCAGACTTCAGATATGAAGGTTCATATTTTTATCATCTAAGAAGTAAAAATCTTCCTCTTCTTGAAATCAGGACTTTAACACGTGAAAGTTTGTATAAGCGTGCTGATTTATTCCTGATAATAACAAAGTTACTGTCAGCAGATGAGAAACTCAACAATGAGCCCACTAAACAACAACAGCTAGTTTTAAGTTAACGTTATGACAGTTAATGTTACGCTTGAGTGTCCTAAAAATCACACGTTCCCTCTGATAAACAGTTTGATTACGTTCTCACATCATATGAGAGTTTATTCACTAAGCGTCAGAGTCCAACAATGATAGGTCGACTTCAAAGAAAATTTCACGTACCGAGAGAAAAGTTCAGGATATCCTCAATGACTCATTTCAGTGTTGTTGTCATAGACACAAGTGAACTTCACTGACTCATTGACTTGTATCAGAATTTTTTCACAGTTTTACAGCCTGCTTCAGAGTAAATACATGTAGACACCAGCTGAGGTGAACAGCAGACTTATAGCCTACAGTCAGTACAGATGAACAGTGGCCACCATAACTACGATTATACCCTTGAATTAGGCAAAAAAAACAGAACTCGGTTAACTGCAGTCTGCAATTTACTGACAACTAGCAATGATATTTTACACACTGTAACGTTAAGATCATTTCCATTGACATTTAACAGTATCCCAATCACAATTTTACAAATGAAATTTAACTTACTCATATTGCAAATCTGAGGTACCTGTACTTCATTGTCCATCTTATTTTTTATGCCATGAAAATAAAGCAACTGACCAAAAGAATAAAACATGCTAATTTTAAAACAGTAGCAAAGTGTTAAGTAGAGGAGATAGAACATATTTTGTGGATTCATGATGGGTTGAGAAACAAAGCCAGGCATAGCTTGGTAGTGTCAGGTGAGGCAGACACACATGTTCATCAAAAGTATCCTGATATAAACAGTAGGGACAAGCCCAGATCTTTGCTTAGGGATA